CAGACACCTTGATTTTAGTTCAGTGAGACTCATATGAGACTCCTGACCTCCAGAACCATGTGATAATAAGCATATATTTGTTTTGAGTTGCTCGGTTTGTAGTGACTTGTTACAGCAGCCATAAGACGCTAATACACTCCCATAGCAAATACTCCTGGTGAGTTGTGTGCAATGGGGATGGAGAACTGGCTATGAAATAAGACCATCGAGGTCATGATGACCTTGCCAGGTGACCTGTGCCATCTTGGAGAAGGGCTTCACGCAGGGAAGGGAAGGCTGCACATTGAAGTGGGTTATCGACTGGTGGTTGGCATGGTCTCTGTGGGACCAGGCTGCTCACGGTGGCCAAGGAGCCCCCAGAGAGGCACCCCTAGGCTAGTGACACCCAGGAACCGCTGGGACCTCAGGGAGCCTCGGCCGAGAGGCCTTTCTGAGTCGTTTGCTCCCTGGGCACTTGGTATCCTGCTCCTCTCCCTGGAGTGCAAGTGTCTGTTGGGAAGGGGGCCTTTGTCCTCCCATAAAGTCAGGGGCCTGCCAAAGAGCCTGCTGTGCGGCAAGCGCTGGGGAAAGACTAGATGGAGAATTCCAGGGGCAGGGACGGTACAGGCAGACTTGTGTGGGAGTTGGTGCCCTGTGGCACCACTGTCCACCCTAGAGACCTCAAAAATGAATTATTTTACTTTTTTAGTTAACAGATTTTAGTATTTAGAACAGTTTTAGATTTTAGAAAAGTTGTACACATGGTGCATAAAATTCATATGTATCCCCCCCCAATGCACAACTTCTCTTACTGTTTGGCATCTGACATTAGTAAGGTATGTGCGTGCACACATACTTAGCTCAGTCATGTCTGACTCTTTGCAACCGTATGGACTGTAGCCCGCCAGACTTCCTATGTCCATGGGATTCTCCAGGCAAGAATACTGGAGTGGGTTGCCATTTCCTTCTCCAGGGCCTCTTTCTTGACCCAGAGATCGAGCCCGTGTCTCTTGTGTCTCCTGCATTGGCAGGAGGATCCATTTCCACTGAGCCACCTGGGAAGCTCTAGTAAGGTACATTTATTACAATTAATGGTCTAACCTTGACAAGCCATTGTAAAAGTCCATGTGTTAGTGTGTTAGTCGCTCAGTCGTGTCCGACCCTCTGAGACCCCGTGTACTGTGCCCACCAGGCTCCTGTGTCCACGGGATTCTCCAGGCAAGAGTACTGGAGTGGGCTGCTGTTTCCTTCTCTAGGGGATCTCCCCAACCCAGGGATCGAACCCAGGTCTCCTGCGTTGCAGGCAGAGTCTTTACTCTCTAAACCACCAGGGAAGCCCGTAAAAGTCCATCCATAGTTTATTCAGATTTCCTTAGTTCCTGTACCCAATGTCATTTTTGGTCCCAGGACTCCAGCCAGGACATCACTTTACATGTAGCTGTCACTTCCTTTGTCGTGAGGACTTTGGCAGTTTGGAGGACTCGGTGGGGATTTTGCAGGGTGCTTTCTGTTGGGATTCATCTTGGGTGGATCTGGCAACATGATTTATGGCTGTAGGTGGGTTTGTTTTTTTTTTAAATTTCGTTTTGTTAATTTTTTGTTGTTGTTGTTTTCAGATTTCATTCTAGTTTATTACAGTGAAAAAAATACCCCACTGTTCTAAGCACATATTCAATTTCTGAGCATCAAAGGAGACAGATTTAGATACATTAAAATGTTGTTTCTATGTTTATAATGATATTCAGCCACATAAAAAATAAGGTACAGGACACCTTGTCCTACAAAACAGCTTTGGGAATATTTTTTTGACTAGAAATTTACCAGTTTGGGAACATTAGCTTAGACATGAACATAAATTCAAGATACTGTTAATTAACTTATTTGAAAGAGTGGGGTATTTAAGAAAGCTGTTTCTACCAGTGGAAACAAAGATGGAAAACTGTCAAATAACTGTGAGTTGCTTGGAATTCTGCCTGGCTTCCAGAAATTAAGCTGGGAACAGATGTCTGCCCACACAGTGAAAATGATCCAATTAGTAAGTGTTTCCTTAAATAAAACACAAAATGAAAAAAATGATTCCTTAGCTCACTCCCAGTCAAAGGGGAAGAAATATTAGATAAGGTGGAGACTATGGTATGGTCTTAAATTTCAGAAGTAGAGATGAGCAATTTTTCTGGGATGCTTTGCTGTTGTCATTGACCTTGAACTCTTGGCTGGACCAGAACTGGCCAGGTTGCTCTGCCATGAAATCACCCGCCCCGCCCAATGCACTGTACTTTATTAGAATGAGGTCCTTATGCAGGGCCTAGAATGGATGCTCTTAGATTTTTTTTTTTCCTGGCAAATGACAGCAAAGACTTATCCCATCAGTGTCTGGCACACAGCATTCTTCTCTGAGAAAATGGCACCTGTTTCCACCTTGTGAAAGGCATGTTATGAACTAGTGGTTGTTCTGGACACACATACCTGTCCAGGGAGATCTCAGGGACAGCGTTTCTACCAGACATGAGAAGGCTGGCCCCCATCACGTGGTCTCTTATTATTGTCATTTTTGCTGTTGTTGTGGTGACACATGGGCACATGCTCCTTGTTACAGGAAACAAAACAATGCAGGTGGCATGGAGACAGGGTCCCCTTCGACTGCACACACACTCAGTCCCCAGGTCCCCAAGGCTAACACTTCTGCATACTCCTGCCTAGGCTTTTAAAAATAATACATGGTTATAATCTATGGTATTATGTGGCATATTTTTAAACATGTAACTATGTATTAAATCTATAGGTAATTAATGCTAAACATATTGTTAAATATCTACATATATTTTCAAATTACTAAATGTATAAGTATATGAACTAATAAAGTAACTTACTAAATTTGTAACTATATGTACTAATATGGGGTTTCTCTGATGGGTCAGTGGTAAAGAGTCCGCCTGCACTGCAGGAGACACCGGAGACTAGGGTTCCGTCCCTGGGTTGGGAAGATCCCCTGGAGAAGGAAGTGGTAACCCACTCAGTATTCTTGCCTGGGAAATCCCATGGACGGAGGAGCCTGGCAGGTCCAGGGGGTCACAAAAGAGTTGGCCATGACTTAGTGACTGAGCATGCACCCACATGCACTAACATAATTTATATAAAAAATAAAGTGAATATAACTGTCAAATATATGATAATATATTAAATATTTATAAAATAAAATGTCATTTTTATTAAATGAGACTGTATTATTCATCATATTATGATCCAGTAATCTCACTTGATATATCTCAGAGTTTTTTCCTGGATGATCATAGATTTGCTTTATTTATGTATTTATATTTGTAGTTGTGGTAAAATATATATAACAAAATGGTCTTCCCTCGTGGCTCATCAGTAAAAAATCTGCCTGCAGTTCAGGAGACGCGGGTTGATCCCTGGGTCGGGAAGATACCCTAGAGTAGGAAAGGGCAACTGACTCCAATATTCTTTCCTGGGAAATCCCACGGACAGAGGAGCCTGGCGGGCTACAGTCCATGGGGTTGTAAAGAGTCGGACACAACTTAGCAACTAAACCACCACCACCATACGGAACAAAATTTGCCCTCTTATCCCTTTTTAAGTGTACAGCTCAGCAATGTTAAATACATTCACATTGTTGTGTTTCCACCTGCAGAATTATTTTAATCTTGTAACACTGAAACTGTCCCCATTAATCAACAACCCCCTATTCTGCTGTCCCTCAGCCCCTGACAGCCACTCTTCTACTTTCTGTCTCTGAATTTTACATATGTCCTATAAGTGGAATCATACAGTATTTGCATTTTTGTTACTGGCTTATTTCACTTGGCCTGATGGCCTCAAGTCTCATCCATGCTGTAGCCTGTGACAAATTTTCCTTCCTTTCAGGGCTGAATGATATTTCATTTTATGCATGGACCACTTTTGCATGGGCTTCCCTGACAGCTCAGTTGGTAAAGAATCCACCTGCAATGTGGGAGGCCTGGGTTTTGACCCCTGGGTTGGGAAGAGCCCCTGGAGAAAGGAAAGGCTACCCACTCCAGTATTCTGGCCTGGAAAATTCCATGGACTGTATAGTTCATGGGGTCACAAAGAGTCAGTCACAACTGGGCGACTTTCACTTTCACTTTTGCTTATCCATCCATCCATTAGTGGACAGTAGGTTCCTTCTACCTTTAGGTATTGTGAATAATGCTACTGTGAACAGCACAGGGCTTGGCCCATGTCAAGGGCTCTAGCCAAGGCACTATAGTAATAATCGTGATAATTATTATTACTGTTTTATAGTGGAGGGCTCTGAGCTTCTTTTGGGTTCAGTATTTCACAAAGATGCGATGGAGGAGTTGACTGAGCCCTGTTTGGACAAGTTTTCATCACTGAACAAGGTGAAGCAAGCTGGGAGGAGTTCTACACTTTCCAGAAGAAATACCTGAGGCTCAGAAAGTCTAAGAGACTTGTTCAAGGACACACAGCTGATAAATGGTTCCAGCTCAAATCTAGGTCTCCAACTCCCAAGCCTGTGTTTTATGTACCACTCTGTGAAAACGAGTGGGATCTTGGGAATTCAGAGGCTTGAGGCTCTCCCCACGTCAGAGGGTTTGTGAAAAGCAGAACTGGGATTCGAACTCAGGTCTAACTATATGAAATTCCATTACACTGTGCTGCCTTCCTAGACAACTTCCAGGAATGCAGTTATATAATCCTCTCCTCAGATGCTGGTGGAGATGGTTAACTTAGAAAGATTTACATCAGACGTCAGGAAAAACAGGCAGCTCCACTCCACGCTAGCCACTTACAGAAATGACTTTTCAATGACTNCTTCCAGGAATGCAGTTATATAATCCTCTCCTCAGATGCTGGTGGAGATGGTTAACTTAGAAAGATTTACATCAGACGTCAGGAAAAACAGGCAGCTCCACTCCACGCAAGCCATTTATAGAAATGACTTTTCTAGAATAGAAATACTAGAAATACTTCTAGTATTTTCTTCAATAACATCTTTGTGCCTTTGGACTTTTAGGACTTACCCCTTGGGATTTGGCCCAGTGTGGAAAACTCTCACATTACGACTCCAGGTAAGTTTTTCTCTTGGTTGATTTTTTTATCGATTTGACCAAGAGAGAGAACCAGACCCTAAAGTCATAGACCTCCTGCTTCTGCCTCCCTGGCACCCTGCTCACCTGTGTACCTTACAGAGCAAGGGCAGTGAGTCCCATTCCTGCAGTAGTGATCTGGGGTGCACAGATCTGAGTTCAGGTAAGGCGGTGATTGATTCTTGGTAAGATTCAATAATAATTGGTAAGAATCAAGAATCAATAATGATTCAGGTAAGGTGGAATCTTGATTCTCCCCTGAAGTTGTCTGATGAAGAAAACACAGAATGTGTGTATTAGTCAACTGTATGAGTTTCTTTTTGCTGCTGTAACAAGTTATCAGAGATTTAGTGGTAAAACAATATAGATGTATTCTCATATAGTTCTGGAGGGTGAAAGTTCACAGTCAGTTTAACTGGTCTGAAGTCAGGGTGTAAGCACTCTCTTCAGGGCCCTGGGAAGAATATTCTTCCTTCTCCAGGATCTGGAGCTTCATTCCTTACATCCTGCAGGTCATGACCCGTCCTGCATCCTCCAAGCCAGCAGTGTTGCTTCTCGCTTCAGTGGTCCCATGACCTTCTCTTCTGCTTGTCAAATCTCTCTCTGCCTCCCTCTGTAAGGACATCTGGGATTATATTTATGGCCCCCTGGATAATCCAGGTTGCTTCCTCATCAATTAAAAATATCAATAACCTCAGATATGCAGATGACACCACCTTTATGGCAGAAAGTGAAGAAGAACTAAAGAGCCTNCGACTGAACTGAGCTGAATTTAACCATATCTGCAAAGAGTCCGTTGCCATATAAGAGAACATGTTTACAGGTCGCTGAGATTAGGACCTGGGTGTCTTTGGGGACCATTAATCAGTCTACCTGACTTTCCAGGTGGCTCAGCAGTAAAGAATCCATCTGCCAATGCAGGAGATGCAGGTGACCCAGGTTCAGTCCCTGGGTCAGGAAGGTACCCTGGAGAAAGAAATGGCAACCCACTCCAGTATTCTTGCCTGGGAAATCCCATGGACGGAGGAGCCTGGCAGGACTGCAGAAAGTCAGACATAACTGAGTACACACGCACTGAAAGTCTACCATACCAGGTTTCAGAAATCCAACTGGAACTAACTTAAGCACTGAGCAATTTGTTGACCCTTATCGCTGAACTGCACAGGCCCTGGATCCAGGAGCACAGTGTTCTCAGGGCTCTGTTTTTCTCTTTCCATCGAGGCTCCTGCTTTTGTCTGGTGAGTGTCATTCCCAGGAACATTCTTTCCATGTGATTTTCCATGTGGAAGTAACTCTGCCTCTTGCAGAAAGGAAGAGACTTTCTGTAGCTCGGCAGAAGTTCAGGGAAGACTAATGCACACAGTCTGAGTCCCATGCCAGTCCCCAGTCCCATCACTGGTGTTCTGGGTTCTGGGCTTAAGTCTGGCTTCCTGGGGACCAGGATGCACTGGGATCCAGGTTTGTCTGTAGAGACTAAGCAAGAATCTTACTGATTGGTCAGGGAGGCTGCCCTGAAGGGAGGGTCCTGGGCAGGCAGAACAGACTTTTCATCCAGAATTGACACAGGTTATGAATACACCTTGTTTTATTCCAGGGATAAAAGTATTTCATTTTCTGGGGGAGTTAAAAGTATTTTTTTATGTCTTTTGTTACTCTGCTGCACTCAATATGTAAGCAAATTTGGAAAACTCAGCAGTGGTCACAGGACTAGAGAAGGTCCGTTTTCATTCCAATCCCAAAGAAAGGCAATGGCAAAGAATGTTCAAACTACTGCCAATTGCATGCATCTCACATACTAGCAAAGTAATGCTCAAAATTCTCCAAGCTAGGCTACAACAGTACATGAACCATGAACTTCCATATGCTCAAGCTGGTTTTAGAAAAGGCAGAGGAACCAGAGATCAAATTGCCAGCATCTGCTGGATCATCAAAAAAGCAAAAGAGTTCCAGAGAAACATCTACATCTACTTCTGCTTTATAGACTATGCCAAAGCCTTTGACTGTGTGGACCACAACGAACTGTGGAAAATTTGTCAAGAGATGGAAATACCAGATCACCTGACCTGCCTCCTGAGAAACCTGTATGCAGCAGGTCAGGAATCAACAGTTAGAACTGGACATGGAACTGGTTCCAAATTGGGANGAAAGCTGAGTGCTCAAGAAATGATGCTTTCGAAGTGTGTTGCTGGAGAAGATACTTGATAGTATCTTGGGCTGGAAGGAGATCAAACCAATCACTCCTAAAGGAAATCAGTCCTGAATATTCATTGGAAGGACTGATCTGAACCTGACACTCCAATACTTTGGCCACCTGATGTGTAGAGCTGACTCATTAGAAAAGACCCTGATGCTGGGAAAGATTGAAGGCAGGAGGAGAAGGGGATGACAGAGGATGAGATGATTATATAGCATCACTGACTCAATGGACATGAGTTTGAGCAAACCCCGGGAGATAGTGGAGGACAGAGGAGCCTGGCATGCTGCAATATCCAGGGTCACAAAGAGTTGGATACAACTTAGCAACTGAACAGCAACAAGCAGTCTTTACAAAAGACTTTATAGAAATTTACAAAATCCAGTGTTTTCATTTGAGTAAAATAGGTTGAAGTGATATCATGATAATTATGGAAAACTTTTAGTCACTAATTAAGCAGGCGTTTTGGATAAGGGAGGGCCGTGCACTTAGGACTGTGGTTGTAGTGAGAGCAGAAGGTGGAGGAATGAGGTCACTGGGAAGGCTTCAGGGAGGGCTTCCTGGAGGAGGTGTTGCATCTCAGCTGAATCCTGAGAAGTAGCAATTAGCAGGAGAAGTAAACAGGGAGAGGCTTCCAGGCATGTGGCAGCTCAAAGGTGAGGGAGCGAGGGTGCATTCAAACAGCTGCAGATTCACGACCGATGACCCATGTGACAGCACCCTAGTGGGGAGACCGCTGGGTAGTGACGCAGTGGGAGGTGGTGGTCAGGTCAGAGCTTGACTTCCTTCTGTACTGTCTGTGGACAGTAGCAGTGTCTGTCCTCATTCAGGTCTCCATCAGAGCCCACGGCTGGGCCTTCTGAGTGCCTGGAGGAGCAGGGGCGTAGACACCCACACCAGAGACAAAGCCCAGAGTGGCCTTAAGATTTGAAGTCCAGTGAGTCTTTGTCCCGGAGCCCGAAGGACTGGACTGGGGTCTGGAGGTGGGTGTTCTGTCCCACTTGTGTGATTGACTCGAACAGTCCCAACTGAGCAGCCAGCCTGGGAAAGCGCCTGCCGGTTTCCATGGTGAGGGCTCTCGATCCCCAGATGCTCACCTTTGTCCCCATTCCAATGTCTTGAATTGAACCACAGATGCTATTCTGGGAAAAAGGATACTGATTTTATCCAGGATCCAGTTCCACATTCTTTTTTTTTAATTTTAATTTTTCCTACATTTATTTGGAAATTCTATAAACAGGGTTCCAAAGCAGTTCTAAAGACCTTGCTATCAATACTCTGTGTAAGGAAGAGTGAAAAACAGGATTCATTCTCAGTCCATATACAGTTTGTACTGGGACAGAAGATAAATGTTGAAAAGGCATGACTCCACAATTCTGGTCACTTCAGAATAGAAATTTACAGAGTGGTTAGAAGTTTTCCCAAGGGCATAGCTGGTGAGTGACAGAGCCAGGATTGGAACCTAGTGCCCTCTGATGCTAGGTATGTAGAAATCACCCATGCCTCCTCCCTTACCTAGCGGTTCTGACTCAGTCAGTCTAGAGGCGGGCCAGGAGTGTACATTTCCGCCTACAGCTCAGGTAAGAAATACACACTCCAAGAAACTCTTCTTTAGCTCTATGACTCCCAATGAGAACTTCTCACCTTCTTGGCAAAGAGATAAGTCATTCATTCATTCACACCCTTGTTCACTTACTCAGCAAAGATTTTCCAAATGCCTGCCACGTATCATGTGGTTTGCTTCCAGAGTTTAATCATTGCCTTTTGGTATTATGTAATGCATGCACATTGCTGTTTTGCAGAGGAGGCACCATTTGGAATGAAATTCAGTAAGGAAATTGAAGTCTTTAACCCACCCCTGTCTTCTGCAGCCTCTAGTGGACCACGGATTCATTCCGTCTTTGCTTTTACACACTTGTGGCCTAGGAAGACCTTGTTTAAAAGAGACTCTGCTGTAACACACCGCCTGGTAAGTGACATGTTCATTTCTTTTAAAGACATATCAGAAGTTATAAAGCAACCGGTTTGGACCACTTGGGTAGAAAATGTCACAGGCTTTTGTTCCTCCTCCAAAAAACACCTATTCTTTCTCTTTCACTAAATATAGTTATCATTAGGGAGCAAATCTATTTTTCTTTACAGGGAGCTGCTTCTTCTATACAATATACAGTATTTAGATGAATAGGATATGTGAATCTGAGCATTAGGCAGCCTCATCTGCTGGTTCTAAAGCAGTGCATAGGGTTTTGCTTTAACTGGATCGATTCACTTGCACCTGTTATAAAAACGCTGCTACTGATAATAGTGCCAAATGTTTAAAAAGTATTTTCCACTCACCAGGCATGTTGTTGTTCAGTTTCTCAGTCACGTCCGACTCTTTGCCACCCCATGGAATGCAGCATGCCAGGCTTCCTATCTCCTGGAATTTGCTCAAACTCATGTGCATTGAGTCAGTGATGCCATCCAACCATCTCATCCTCTGTCGTCCCCTTCTCCACCTGCCCTTAATCTTTCCCAGCATCAGGGTCTTTTCTAATGAGTCAGCTCTTCGCATTAGGTGGGCAAAGTATTGGAGCTTCAGCTTCAGCATCAGTCCTTCCAACGATTATTTAGGACTGAGTCCTTTAGGATTGACTGGTTTGGTCTCCTTGCAGTCCCAGGGACTCTCAAGAGTCTTCTCCAACACCACAGTTTGAAAGCATCAATTCCTGGGTGCTCATCCTACTTGTCCAACTCTCATATCCATACATGACTACTGGAAAAGCCATAGGCTTAGCGCTTTCTATGCATAATCTCACTGGAGCCTCATTATAAGTTTCTTAAACAGGTACTATTTTTATTCCTTTTTTACAGATAGGAACTGAAGATTGGAGAGATTAAGGAGTTTGTTCAGGGTCCCACGGGTCAAAGTGGCAGAACTAGGATGTGGGGCCCCTGCTCTTAGCCGCTGTCCCTGCTCCCAATGTTCTTCATACCGTGTAATGTGTTGGCGCCACGTGAGGCTGACTCTCACCTAAAATGGCTTGAGAGCCACTGGGTTCAGCCAACAGGCTACCACGCTACAAGCTCCTCCTTGACCCTCGGCTACATTTTGTGTTAATCTCCTACATTTTGTATCAGATAGTTGTGTGACAAATTATCACCAGCCTGGTGGCTTAGAACAGTGAAGTTTATTCTCTCCTTGTTCTAGAGGCAGGAAGGCCAAAGTCAGATGTCAGCAGAGCTGTGCTGTTCCCGGGAGCTTGTAGGGGAAAATCCATCCTTATCTCTTTCAGCTTCAGTAGCTTTCTTTGGCTTGTGGCTGCATCACTCCAATCTTTATATTGGGATTCTACAGAGAACAAAACCTGTAGGATGTGTGTATACACACACACAGAGAGATACACACACACACGTTTGTGAAGGAGGGAGGGGGAGATTTACTTCAAGAAATTGCTTATGTGATTGTAGGAGCTGGCAAAGTCCACGATCTGCAAGTGTGGCCTGGAGACCCAAGGAAGAGCTGATACTCAAGTTGCAAAGGTCTCTGCACAGAATGCACTTTTCTGTAGGGGAAACCTTCATCTTTTTTGTTAAGACCTCACCCAATTGGGTGAGGCCCACCCACACTATGATGGGTCATCAGCTTCCTTCAGAGTCCACTGACCTCAATATTAAATCTCATCTAAAAAATACATTCACAGTGACATCAGGAGGTAATTGACCAAGTATCTGGGAACCATGGCCAGCCAGTTGACACCTAACATTTACTGTTATGCTCTCCTTTCACCTTCTTGTGTCCTTTTTTCTGTGGGTGTGTCTTCTCCTTTTCTGTCACTAATGAGGACACTTGTCATTGGATTTAGGACCTGGCTAAATCCAACCCACCTGAAATCCAGAATGATCTCATCTTGAGAGCCTTGCTTAATTACATCTTCAAAGACCACTTTTCCAAATAGGGTCATGTTCCCAGGTTCTGGGCTTCAGGACGAGCTGAATCCATCCACCATGGTGGTCATCAGCTTTCCAGTCCATGCTCCATCCCCCTCCTGTGTGTCTTTGCCCAACAAACTGTGTTTATCTGATTGTCACATGCAGGATACTGTGTAGGGATCTGAAGACTAGAAAGCCAGATGCCTGACCTCAAGGACTTGCTGGGGTCCTGGCACGTCAAAGCATGAGGGTGGGGTCATGGACAGAGACTCAGCCAGAATCAAAGGCCTCAACAGCTCATGCTGCTGCCTGTGGTCAAAGTGTTCTCAGAACATCACTTCTGCTCTCTGCGTCTTTGTTCATTTCTATACTATATACAATGAGAGAGTGATGCTCTGGAGAGGGAGTGTGCCCTACGGGAGAATCATAGCATATGGAGCTATACCTATACCTACCTATACCTATCCTATCATAGCATACGGAGCTTTAACCAGCACACTGCCTGGGTAGAGTCCAAGCTTCCTACCTGTGCAGCCTTGGGCAGGTGGTTAACCTCCATGAGCCTTAGTTTCTTCATCTGTAAAATGGGAGAAATAGAATTCATGTGTGTACAGTGACAGATATACACCTGGAACTTGGGAAAGAATAGCCATTGTTAGGATTATTGGTATCACTGAGAGCTGCCTTGGTCTGTGATTCACAGCATGGCTCCACCCACCGCAGATGAAAGTGGGCGGGGCAGAGAGTGGGGATGCATGGCGTGGGGTCAAGGGGCATGTGCAAGGATGAAAACGAACAGGTAGCAGCTATGTTGACGAGGAGCAGCGGGGCTGGCATCCAGTGGGTGAGCCCTGGCTTTCCACTGGTTTCCAGGGGAGGCGTCATGGGGCTGTGTGTGTGTGAATTGCTCAGTCGTGTCCAACTCTTCACAACCCCATGGACTGGAGCCCACCAAACTCCTCTACCCATGGATTTTCCAGGCAATAATACTGGACTGGGTAGCCATTCCCTTCTCCAAGGGATCTCCCCGACCCAGGGATTAAACCCTGGTCTCCTGCATTGCAGTCAGATTTTTTACCACTGAGCCACCAGGGTAGCTGCTCATGGGGCTGGAGGAGGCCAATCCTGGGTGGATTCTCTGCCTGTTAATGTGCAATCCAGCTCACAAGAAGCACCCCAACACACCATGGTCCGTGTTCACTAGGTTCCTGCTGTGTGGCTTGTGTACCCCACTCAGGACATGTGCGTGTTGAGCTGCTCACTCGCTCAGCCTTGTCTGAGTCTCTCTGTGCAACCCCATGAACTGTAACCCACCAAATTCCTCTGTCCATGGGATTCTCCAGGCAAGACTACTGGAGTGGGTTGCCATTTCCTCCTCCAGAGGATCTTCCTGACCCAGGGATCAAACCTGCATCTCCTATGTCTCCTGCATCGGCAGGCAAATTCTTTACTACTAAAGACCCCGCTGTTGGGAAAGATGGAAGGCAAAAGGAGAAGGAGGTGGCAGAGGATGAGATGGTGAGATAGCATCACTGACTCAATCGACATGAATTTGAGCAAACTCAAGGAGACTCTGAAGGACAGGGAAGCCTGGCATGCTGCAATCCATGGGATGGCACAGAATTGGACACAACTTAGCAACTGAACAACGACAACGCCTAGGAAGCCAGGATATGTGAGCAGTCTTTAAAGGATTTTTCCATAGCTCTGCTCACATTCCTCCTGCTGAAGTGTCAGCCCTGCTTCGCTGAGTCCCTGTGACAATGATGTCATTGGCACTACCTCTGAACAGGACACAACCCCATGTCATCACATGTCCACGTTTTTCTTTATTCGTAGGTTTTAAGTTCCAGTTCTGTAGGACTTAAAGAAAAAAAATCTTCAGGGTCAAAATGCATGACTACAGAAGCAACCCTTCTACCCTGCCTTTTACTTATTTATTTTTTGGCCACATCCCACAGCATGTGGGATCTTAGTTCGCAGATCAGGCATCTAGTCTGTACCCCCTGCACTGGAAGCGTGGAGTCTTAATCACTGGGCTGCCAGGGAAGTTTCTCCAACCTCCCCCCACTTTTAAAAGTTCATCTTGTATTTTTATTTAACATGTGTGGCATGAAATGTTTTTCATTTTCTAATAAGTTCTACATTTTATTGTAGTATGGAGACGTTTCAAGAGACGTTCAAGGGACTTCTGAGAATGGAGTCATTTTTCAGAAATGTGCAGTGGTGAGTACTCACCGGTGGTTTATGCTTAAAGAGAAAGTAATTGAATTTGCTGAAAATGTGTATTAGCTTTGTATGTTATGTATTTAAAGACCTGGCAAATCACATGGCCATCTACCCATGTCTGGACACGGGTGATAAAGTGACCCACAGGGATCCCATATTTTATATGGAAGCACCAGACTAAGATTTTTTTGGTAACAACAAAATCATTACTGAAAATCCTCTGTGATTATTTAAAATGGGAAAGAAAGCATGTATTTTCTCTCAGCTTTTAACAGTGATATGATGCCAACAGTTTACAGATTTATGTAATGTCTTTAGGTGTTTGATTCTTACTAATCTCTTGAGATGACCTTCACATGATCCTTCTGTTGAGGGTCCCCAAGACCATCGTCAGGTTCCCGAGAAGGACTCAGGGAACTCAGAACAGCTGCTCTACTCACAGTCACAGTTTATTACAGTGGAACGATAAAGATTATAGTCAGCAAAGCCAAGAGCTCATAGGACAGAGTTCTGGGGAGACCAGGCCCAAGACACCTGGTCTTCTCCCGGTGGAACTGAAGGAACAGCATTTAATTTTTCCCAGCAATGGTGTGTGACATCACCAGGGAAGCTCACCTGAGCCGTGGAGTGCAGGATTTTTATTGAGGAGCCATCATGTAGGCATGGAGCACTCACGTCACTGACCTCAGTTACTTAGGTCACCTGAACATAGCTTGGCTGAAGGCCCCCACCATGAATTACATGGTTAGTGCAAACTACCTGGGGTGGCCCAAGGCCATAAGTATAGCAAGACACTCTTACCAGACAAGATATTCCACAGGCTTTCAGGGCCAGTCTCACAGGAGCTGGTCATCTCTTTGGGATAGGCGGGGTTTGGACAGTCCAGATCTGCTTAGCCTACCATGTACTGCACAGCTCTCATTGCGACCCAGCCCTTGGCTCTCTTGATTCACTTCCTGGAATACAGTTGGAGCTCCCAGTTTCTCCTGTGTCCTCCTAGAAATGTTTCCTGCTACATGAGCATAGTTATGAGTGTGTGTGTGTGTGTGTGCCCATGTGCACATACATACACATATCTTCTTTCTTCCCCTTTTTTATGTAGGTGACTACCCTATACACCAAGTTTTTCAATTTGCTCTTTTTTACTTATTACAATCCAGAGCTCACTCTTCTTGGGGCTGTACATGGCTTCCCTCTCTTTTCTCAGCTCCTCTGTCTCTTTCAGCAGAGCTGGGGTGAAGGAAGGGCAGGAATGGTGGGAAATAGGCTTTGAGAGAGGGGGCAGGGCAAGGTGCAGAGGCCAGGTGGGGAGCCAAGCTGGAGATGGGCCACTGGCTTTGAATAACCAAGCTGTGCAAGCACATGGATGGGCAGAAGCTGGAAGGCGACTGGCCAGGAGACAGGAGACCAGCTCAGGGCAAACTTGGGGATCGGAGGGCAGTCAGAGGACCTGGACTGGCTGGGGCTGAATCTTCAAAATAATGAATTAAGAAAGCGCTACTGTGTGTTTTTCTTGGTGATCCCAGTTGTGACAATCTCTCCTACTGTGGTCCCATGCATGGATGTTTTTTCATCCAAGCTTCTCTGTGGTTTTACTGAAGTTCAGAGTCCTGGTTTCTTTGAAATGATCTGAGCAACAGCTTGTCAAGAGGGAGTCAAAATTCTCCCGGGGTGTTTGATATCAGACCCGATAAATTCTAGAACCTTCGTGAGACCGTAATCCCTTCCCTCTGCCTGCAGACCTAGTGGGTGCAAGTCGAGCTGGGGCCTTGTGTTGGGAAGTTGGGCTCACCAGTGAGTCCGGCCTCACTTGCCCTCCTGTCCTAGGTGTCTGTGCAGGGTGAGTGGCCATCAGCCCACGTGCTACTGTTTGTGAACAATACCAGGACACCCACGGCTGCCAACCTCTCCGACCTGCTCTTACTGGACAACATTACTGGCCTCACTGTTAGGGAGTCGGCTGGAAACCAGACCTCAAGAGGCTTCCAGGCTTTCAGGAAGAAGTTTCTGCAAGGTAATAGCCACATGTACAAAGTTAAGGGTGGGACATGATGGAGGTACATACAGATATGCACAGAGCACGGGAAAGGCAGCAGGCGTCTTCTCAGACATGGGACTTGTGTTCATGCCGCGGATCCTCATGATGGAATCTGCTGGTGGGGCATCAGAGGAGGAGACCCCTGCACAGTTTCTGCAACCAGGAAGCTGGTTTGTCACTTAGGTTGAGAGAGGTGGGATTTAGGGAAGCAGATTTTAAAGTATATGTATTCAAAGTTTATTATGAACAACTTCAAACATACACAAAGAGATTATAGTGAACCCCACTGTATCCACCAGCTGGATGATCAAAATGACCATCACTCAGTGAAATGAAGAGCTTGTTGGGGAAGTACTGGACAGACACGGGAGGAGTTTGGCATCAGCCAGGGTGTTTGATATCAGACCCGATAAATTCTAGAACCTTCGTGAGACCGTAATCCCTTCCCTCTGCCTGCAGACCTAGTGGGTGCAAGTCGAGCTGGGGCCTTGTGTTGGGAAGTCGGGCTCACCAGTGAGTCCGGCCTCACTTCCCCTCCTGTCCTAGGTGTCTGTGCAGGGTGAGTGGCCATCAGCCCACGTGCTACTGTTTGTGAACAATACCAGGACACCCACGGCTGCCAACCTCTCCGACCTGCTCTTACTGGACAACATTACTGGCCTCACTGTTAGGGAGTCGGCTGGAAACCAGACCTCAAGAGGCTTCCAGGCTTTCAGGAAGAAGTTTCTGCAAGGTAATAGCCACATGTACAAAGTTAAGGGTGGGACATGATGGAGGTACATACAGATATGCACAGAGCACGGGAAAGGCAGCAGGCGTCTTCTCAGACATGGGACTTGTGTTCATGCCGCGGATCCTCATGATGGAATCTGCTGGTGGGGCATCAGAGGAGGAGACCCCTGCACAGTTTCTGCAACCAGGAAGCTGGTTTGTCACTTAGGTTGAGAGAGGTGGGATTTAGGGAAGCAGATTTTAAAGTATATGTATTCAAAGTTTATTATGAACAATTTCAAACATACACAAAGAGATTATAGTGAACCCCACTGTATCCACCAGCTGGATGATCAAAATGACCATCACTCAGTGAAATGAAGAGCTTGTTGGGGAAGTACTGGACAGACACGGGAGGAGTTTGGCATCAGCCCAGGAAGCGTGCTCTTGACATGTCCAGCTGTGTTCACAGGAGTAACTCTGCTGCTAATTAGCTCCCGTTCAAAGCATGACACCATCACTGGTTGGCTTTCAGAGGTGTGTTTCCTGAAGTGAGCTTGTCGTTGGTTAATTAAGGAGATTTAAAACCAATTCTGGGGGCTTCCCTGGTGGCTCGGAAGTAATGCAGGAGACACGGGTTCGATCCCTGATCCGTGAAGATCCCAGGAGCACAGAGCAACTCAGCTCATGCACCACAACTACTGAGCCCGTCTAGAGCCTGGGAGCCTGGCTACTGAAACGCATGCGCCCTAGAGCCCATGCTCCACAACAAGGGAAGTCACCGCAATGAAAAGCCCATGCGCCACAGCTAGCGAGTAGCCCCCGTTAGCCACAGCTAGAGAAAAGCCTGCACATCAGTGAAGGCCCAGCACAGCCAAAAATAAACAAGCAATTAAAAAAAATAATAATTCTGGGGTGCAGTTGTGACTCTGACTTCAGACTTGTCAGTTTTCCTAGGAAGGTGGGACTTCTTTTATTCTGAGAAGGTGCCTTGTCTACAGATGTAGAAACTAAGGTGATGAGGAACTTGCCCAAGGCCCAGGGTTGGCAGTCAAGGCTGAGACAAACTCAGTCTGACTTCTCCATCCACCCCGTACCCACGATGCTATAGTGCCGCTCACAGGCCTGGGACTCTTACTGACCTGTCCACTTCCATATGCATGGCAAACGTTGCTCATCAACGCCACCACTCTTTCTGAGTCTAGATGAAACCTCAGAATCCATCTTAACACCATACTGTTGACAGAAGCCGTCAGTGAAGTTGGCCTGCAAGTAGTGACCTCTTTGCTGGCGCTGGTTTAAGCAATGGTGTAAAAACCGTCATGGTACGTCTCAGCTGAGTGATCTTCAGTGCCTTTCTTCAATGATGTAAAAATGAATCTCCCCAGTTCTTAAGCTCGTGCTTAGAGACAGGAATGTAGGGCTGAGAGCAGAGCCCAGACTCGACCTCAGACAGAGCTCCCTTGATTCCTGGCCATTTCCGAGCTGCGAGGCCTCCGGAAATCACTGCATTTCTCTGAGCTTGCACAGACGTGCAAGGGGCCCCCAGCCTTACAGAGGCACTGCAGAGTCTGAACGAGGCGACATGGCTCGGCACTCTGCCTGCCTCTCATTTTATTGCTCCAGTGGCCTTGTGTGGTCCATGCTCCTACCATCCCGAACTGGGCACTTTCCTCCCACGGCTCGGCATCAGCTCCTGCTGCAGCTGGAGGACCCTTCCCTGGAGGGTCCCCCTGGAGGACCCTTCCCTGCTCTCTGCCCCTCACTCACCTGCCACTCCTGCACTTCACCTGCTCGGAGCCAGGACCACACACTTTGCCCATGAACTCGCTGACTTCTGCTCTTGACACGTGCGCTCTGCACATCCGTGAACCTCAGCCCATGCAGCTGTGAACTGGGGGTGCTGTGACACCCACTTCCAGGAGGCCTTCTAAAGAAAGGGGAGTTCCCCACCCATAACTCCAGAGCCCACTGGTTCACCCTGGGGTGTGACTCTCCCTTTTGCAGAGGCGCCTTCTCCTCATAGCTGACGTTTCAGTCCTGGCTTCTTATTAAGGGGCTTTCCTCGTGGCTCAGATGGTAAAGCGTCTGCCTGCAATGCAGGCGACCCACTTGAGTCAGAAACCCTGTCTTCTATGGAAGCTTCTCTGTGTAATTAAGGACCAACCAGTGACCATGAGATTAGAGGGGACCCTCCGTGAGCCTGAGTGGCCTTCTCCCTCTCCCGGGCTCTGCGCTGCCTCTCTGTGCCTCGTGCTGGGCTCCCAGGACCAGGCTGCCTGGAGGCGTCAAAGTGGCAGCTAGTGTTGCCCAAAAGTTCTGTAAAGACTTTTCCTTCATTGTGTGCATCGGATCAGTGGGAATAAATAGGTTCCCCACCTGGACTCCAAACAAAACAGAAAGGTTCTGGATTTCCTAAGTGGATGAGCTAAATACATCCTGAGTTAGGAAGGCTGACCCACCCAGGCCCAGGCATTTCTGGATGGGTTGGGGGCCCAGATAAACCTCCCTGCACCTGCTGACAGCCCTTCAAGTAAAAGCCAAGTTGGCCCAAGAGCACGCCTGCTTGATTTACTCTCCGCACTAAAAAGTATGTGATCAAAGGGGCTGTGACGCCATGTCTGGGGTGTGCAGGGGCCCCCTGCTGACCTCACGTGCCTTCTCTCTGAACAGTTGGAGACTCCTTCTCTGTCAGCTACACAGCTTCGCTCGAGGCCAGAGACGTCGGGAGTGGAGACATCCTGCTTCTTCCTGCCCAGCTCTCCTTCCAGAGTTCGTCACAGGTATTGTCTGTGTTTCTTGTGGTTTCTGTCTCGTCATTGTTGTTTTAGAAACCTCGAGCACATTATCCGTTGTTCATGCTTTTCTTCCTGCCATCCTCCATTCATTCAGTGATGCCGAATTCTGGATTAGTGAATGGGCCCCAGAATCTCACACACTTTGCCGTGAACCAGGCTCCCTTTTAGCTCCTTGTAACCTCTATGGACCTGATTATCAAGATATGTCATCCATAGACATTAATTTTTTTTTTTTGGCATGTTCTCATATTTATTTACACATTTCTACGTAGTTTTTTTTCTTTTTTAAAAAATTTATTTACATAGATGTTAATCGCTCATCACCATGTCTTGTGCGTAGTAAGCATTCAACCATATACCTTCTATTGGTACTGGTTTGCTAGAACTGCTGTGAAAAGGTTCCGCAGACCAGTTGGCTCACAAACAACAGAAATTAGTTTGTTCACAGCCCTGGAGGCTGGACGTTCAGGTCAAGGTGTGGGCAGGGCTGAGTCCTTCTGAGGCCTCTCTCCTTGGCTTGTAGTCAGCTGTCTGCCCACTGTGTCCTCACGTGGTCATCCCTCCGTGTGTGTCTGTGTCCTGGTCTCCTAATAAGGACACTTGTCGGGGAGGTTAGAGTCCACCGTGATGGCGTCGCTTTACCTTAATCACGTCTGTAAAGGTTCTATCTCCAAATTCAGACACATTCTGAGATACTGGGGTCAGGGCCTCAAGTATGGATTTTGGGGGAACGTGATTCAACCTGTAACCCCATTACCGCTAGCATTTTCATTTTCCATTCACTTTTTTGTCAATCCACGTAGGTGGTGAGTGTGGTTGGCGCATGGCCCATGCTATGCGCTCTGCACCCCAGGGATACAGAGAAGGAGATGTGTCCTTGTCCTCACGAAGCCTGTGCTCTAGTTGTGTGTGTGTGTGTGTGTGTGTGTAAGTCACTCAGTTGTGTTCTACTCATTGCAGCCCATGGACTGTAGCCTGCCAGGCTCCCCTGTCCATGGAATTCTCCAGGCAAGAATACTGGAGTATGTAGCCATTCCCTTCTCCAGGGGGTCTTCCCCACCCAGGGATCGAACCTGGATCTGCTGCATTGCAGTTACTCTGGTCATTTTGTTCAGACTGCAGCCCATGGAGGAAGTACTTTTCATAACAGATGTGGAAAATGAGACTCCCAGCGTGACTACTCCAGGTCACATGGCAAAACCAAAATCAGACCTCACAGTTGCCAGCTCCTTCCATCCAAGGCTGAGAGGCCTGTGTGCAGTGTTCCTTCTGCAATAAAAAAACTAATCCTGGATAAAATTAAATAAAATGAAAGATTCCACAAAGGTAAAGACCAGATATGAGAAAGGCCTATGAAACTGTCAGAAAAGACGAATGTCTCAGAAAACAATTAAGTGCAAAGTCAAGAATGAGGACAAAGAAGGGTAAAAAAAGGGAAATAAAAGGGCCCAGAAAAAAAGTACCATCTGAATTTCAAAGGACAGGAAACCAGATATGCTAAAATCAAAATTTAAGATAAAGGCAGCAGTCAAAAACCCACAGTGAGAAATGCAGCAACCCAGTGAAATCAAAAGCTCCCTGGATAGGGGCATTAGGACTTTAGGCCAAGGTGGCTTCACACTTCCCTGAAGAGCCTGGGGAGGGTGAGGGGCAGTGGGAGGCGTGGAGTCGGGGCTCCCTGGCTGAGACTCCCCAGCGGGTCCTGTCCATTGATTTGCTTGGCGCCTGTGTGTGTTGTATCAACCCCATCACCCTAGTAACCCTCCACCTCCCACTAGAATGTTGCTCCTTGAAACCCCATTGGTCTTACTCCCAATCTCTGCTCTTGGTGCCAAAAAGAGAGCCCTGCACACAGTAGGTGCTCAGTAATTACTTGTTGAGTGAGTACATGAAGAGATCAGTGAACTGATGATTTTTGGGCTGGTGTTTTTTTTTTTTTTTTCTTTTTTGACTTCTCTGAGCCTCCGGTTTCTCATCAATAAAAAGGGAGACCATTCTATGTCTCCCGTCTCTTGTGGGGATAAAAGCGATGATTTTATATTTGCATGTGGCTTTCAGTTTCCTTTACCTTCCAAGCCTTCAAGAGCTCTCTCTGGGCAGTTTTGTGGACAGAGTGGAGATTCTGGAGCTCCAGACTTCATGCTGTGTGTTCTAGGCTCCTACCTGCTTGCATTAGACTGCCAGCATCACCTTTCTTAGACCTGCCTTAGAAAAGGTTCCTAGAAAGCTCAGTGTTTGCTGAGCGGATAAGTGCTGGATAAAGCTCCTATGCTTTGTTCTCTAATTGATTCACCCAGTTGAACTTCAGAGTTTCTTTGGGTGACTCCTGGGCCTTCCTCTAGGATGGAGAAAAGGTCTAGTGTATTTGGAATTGAAAATGATCCAAGTCTGAGGGAAAATCTTGTCAACTCCACATAAGAACATGGGTCTGCTCTGCTTGTCGGCTGTAAAGAGGCTCACACTACAGATGGGAGAATAAAGGAATTATTTTAAAACGCAGGTGCCTAATGGGATGAAATCCTTCACGTTGCCATGGACTTGGTATCTGATACTTCAGAGGCTGAAATGCTGCCCTCGCTGTGTTTTTAAAACGGTTCAGTGTTTCTGAGTTCAAGTTTTCCCACTTGAAAAATGGGGGGGGGGGTGTCAAAAGATTCCCTTCAAACCCATCTCTTCCAGTTATGACATTTTAAAATGGTATGAGAGCAATAAAAATAGTTACCACTTTCTAATCCTCACCACGGGAGGGAGGTACTGTCAGAAATGCACTGTGTTTGAGTCTGGATACTACTTTCTTAAACTCAAACACAGGCATACACACATGTATACACATGTGCACATAGATATAGATACATGCACCTCAAATTGATACAAGGGTACATGAGACAGGACAGAGACGCAAGGGAGGTCAAGAGGGAAAAATCTAGAACATCTATCTCCAGTTTCTTACCGTATATTGTATAAACATCCTGCCCACCTTGGAAAACCATCCCTGGCCCTCACGTGGTCCTTCTTTCCCGGCCTCAGGCTGTGCTCTAAAACATGTTTCTTAAGCCTTGAAGTTTATATAGTGGATGTAGGCTGATGGTTTCTGTTTTTGCAGAGATGGAGACAGGCTGTGTAGCACACTTTCAGCCCCTCTCTGTTTAGACCTTGGTGTCAAGAAACAGCAAGGAGGGACCCAGAGGGAGAGAAAAGAGAGAGGAAGCCAGCCTTCAAACCCACTAGTTCAGAAGACCCTGAAACTCACGGGGCACTGCAAACACTCCGAAGCATGTACGATTCAGAAACAGGAAGGGCCAAGGGATTGCTTCATAGGTGTCTCTTCTTTAGAGATGTGTGTGTGTGTGTGTGTGTGTGTGTTTTAATTTCCATTGTTGTTCAGTTGCTAAGTTTGTGTACGACTCTTTACAACCCCATGGACTGCAGCATGCCAGGCCTCCCTGTCCTTCACTATCTTCTGGAGTTTGCTCAGATTCATGTCCATTGAGTTGGTAATGCTGTCTAACCATCTCATGCCTGTTTCTCCTTTTGCCTTCCATCTTTCCCAGCATCAGGGTCTTTTCCAGTGAGTCAGCTCTTTGCATCAGATGGCCAAAGTATTAGAGCTTCAGCATTAATCCTTCCAAAGAATATTCAGGGTTGATTTCCTTTAGGATTGACTGGTTTGATCCCCTTGCAGTCCAAGGAACTCTCAAAAATCTTCTCTGGCACCACCATTTGAAGGCATCAATTCTTGGGCACTCAGCCTTCTTTATGGTCCATCTCTCACGTCCATTTCCTTCCTTAAAAAGAAAGCTTAAAAAAAAAAAAAAGAAAACTTGTAGCATTTTGATTTCCCTCCATCAGATTGTCCAGCTGGCCTGTGATGGGTTTGGGATGCCCCAGTGCTCCCAGTATAGCTGCCATAACAGCTGTAGGATATGGATCAGGGGGTTTCCTGCCTTGGGTGGACCATCACTCAGATCAGGGGAAAATGCCCCTAGAGTGGCCATTATAGAATTAAACAGGGGTTGCCTAGCTCACTGGATTCTGGCTGCAAGTCTCCAGACCAGGTTATCTATGATGATACAGCCACCACCATCACCACCCGCTACACCCAACAACATTCATACACTCACAGCACTCCTCCTTATGGGCGAGGCACTCTTCTGATTCATCCTCACAGCCAGCCTACGAGATGAATAAAATTCCCATTGTACAGATGAGGAAACCGAGGCACAGAAAGGCCAATACCTTATCCAAAGCCAGAGTGCTGGAGAATGATGAAGCCCCGCATGAACCTGCATAATCTGCTTCCTTCCGCTCCACTGCACGGCCTTTCAGTTGCAAGATATGCTGCCTCCAGCCCAAGAAAGAAGCATGTTCTCGTGTTGGGTCTCCTAAGATACCATGAGGTTGGACAGATAGCAGTCATAACACTCACCTTTCATTCCCTATGTTTTCTAACCAGAGGAGTATTAGAAAGTATGGGAGTGGATGTTTAGGCAGTTGGGGCTTGGGGGGTGGAGAGCACTGGAATGAGAGGGGACCTCAGTAGCGATGTCAGAGCCTGCAGCTCTCTCCTCGTTCCTGCAGGGGGGAAGACCAGATCCTGGAGAGAGAGGGTCATTCCTTTTCCCTGACCTCACCTGCCTCCAAGTGTTTCACCACCCGGGTATGATGCCTGTGTTTCCCTGGCCGTTAGGGAAACTGGTGTCTGGATTTCACACACGCCTCGGGAAGAGGAGGCATCACAGTTCCACAGACCTTTTGCCCGAAGTGGCTTTAAGACCACAACCAGCTCTGACCACTCCCCTGCCCCCGCCGGTCAAGAACCCACTGTAGGTCCAGGTGGGCAGGTCAGAAACAGACCACATGTTACCCCGTGTCTCAGATGCCAAAACCAGTTAACTGAGCTGCTTTCTTTGTGCTTTTTTCTAGAACAGAACCCAGCTAAAAGCCCACTTCTCCATAACAGCAGAAGAAAAGATCCTGGTAAGAGCAAACCTTTGAGCTGTACACCCACATTATGCCCCAGAGCGTCTCTTTCTGTCTATGGCCTGTGGTCTCTTGCTGTCCTCAGAGGCCAGGGGAGGGGGCCCCCGCTGGCCTTAGCCTCCTAGACCCCAGCCGAGGCTGCAGGGTTCCCTGCGGGCTGGGGTTCCCCAGTGTGGCCTGGGGGCTGTCTGGCTGGTTTTCTGAATACCCCTTCATCTGGGCCAGATGGATTGGTCGCTGCCTGGGACCAGCTTGAGGCCCCACCCACCCGTCTGTCCAGCAGGCCGTACTTGCCCTTCAATGTTTTCCCGTGGCCAGTGAGTGGTCCATGTTTTATCTTCCCAGAGCCTCCCAGGACCTAGAGACCTGCTTCTGTGGTCCACCATGAACACTTCTCCCTTTTTCTTCATCATTCACTCACCCGCAGCTCATGCATCCATTCATTCACATGTTCATCACGTGTTTATTCATCATATAAACACAGTCCACATTTCTTGAATCCCCAGTACATGCGTACTAAGTTGTTTCAGTCATGCCCGACTCTTTGTGACCCTATGGACCGTTAGCCCACCAGGCTCCTCTGTCCCTGGGATTCTCCAGGCAAGAGTACTGGAGTGGCTGCTGTGCCCTCCTCTGGGTATCTTCAAGACCCAGGGACCCAACTCATGTCTCTTGTGCCTCCTGCATTGACAAGTGGATTCTTTACCACTTACGTCACCTGAGAAGCCTCCCAGTAATTGCCAGGCCAAGGATTTTACATTTGCTGAATCATGACATCTTCACTACAATCTTGGGGGATAGACTGAACATCCATTTCTTAGATGAGGAAACTGTGGCATGCCCAGGTCAAGGCATTTGCCCAAGGTCACATGACCGTGTGTCGGGGCTCCCAAGATCACCCCCAGGTGCAGAGTTTCCCTAGGAGGACCCAAAGCACTGCCCGCATTGTCGTACCCAGGCTGATGTGTGATAGAGAAGGGATGCAGAGAAGAGTAAGCACAGGGAACAGACACGCAGGACGGGCTCTGGAGGCCCCAGATACAGGCTTGCCGGGTTCTCTCCCACTGGAGACACTCGGGGCACGCTGAACTCCTCCAGCATGGAGTTGTGACATCGCATGGGAACTGCTGTCCATCCGGGGAGTCATTAGAGGCCCAGTGCCTGGCACCTGCCGGCAGGACAGTGTGTGTCGAGTGTAAACCACACTGAATGCACAGCAGTTTAGGCCCCATGAACCCCACTTATCAGAGGATGGTGGGAACCCTCTGAAATCCGAGTTCCCAGACACCAGCCATGGCCCAGCATCTGGAGCAGGCCTCCCAGAGGCCGGAAGCCTCAGGCCCGCTGCGTGAGTGCCTTTCTGCACAGCTGGTGTTAGAAAGGGATTTGACCTCAGGCCCTTCGGCTCCGGAACCCTACTGTTGGGCAGTGGACCACACTGCCTCCTAGCAAGCTGAATTCCTGCAGGAGAGGCAGGAACAAAACCCGAGGTAGGCACACAGGTGCAGACAGTTCTCCTGGCTGGTCCGTGCATCCCCCACTGTGCCCTACATTGTGGATGGCCCTCAACAGGTAAAGAACCCTGATTGGGCTGATTGTCATCAATGCCTGTGATTGCCCCTCAGCGGAGGATGGCTGCATGATTGCAATAAAGGTCAGAGAACGTTCATTTAATCAATATTTATGAACCCTTCCTCCATGGCCTGATAGCTCAGTTGGTAAAGAATCTGCCTGCAATGCAGGAGATCCCAGTTCAATTTCTGGGTTGGGAAGACCCACTGGAGAAGGGATAGGCTACCCACTCCAGTATTCTTGGGCTTCCCTTGTGGCTCAGCTGGTAAAGAATCCACCTGCAATGCAGGAGACCCCGGTTCGGTCCCTGGGTTGGGAAGATCCCCTGGAGAAGGAAAAGGCTACCCACTCCAGTATTCTGGCTTAGAGAATTCCATGGACTGTATAGCCCATGGGGTCGCAAAGAGTCAGACACAACTGAGCAACTTTCACTTCACCTCCATGGCCCAGACCCTCTCATGAGGATGGAGACGCACCATATCCAGATCTTCAGGGCTGCATCTGGCTCACACATTACCTTCAGGAAAAGCAGGAAGAGGGGGCCCCCCAGTCTGCAGACAACAGGGCTCTGGAGCCAAAGCTCCCAGGTTCAAATCCTGTTCTAATACCAGCTGTGGAGAAGGGCGTTCACACACAGACCTGAGACTTAGGTCCTCTGGGAGTCCTGTTCCAGATGCCTGTTCAAGATCCATGGGTGCAAGGCTAGGTGGTGGAGCAGTGGGTTGGATTTCAGCCCCACTGGTCCCTGGGCCAGGTGATCTCTGCCTGTAGACCATGTTCATAAAGGTCATTATGAAGTGGAGAGACGAGACATGTGTCAGTGATGGCCCTGTTGTTGTGGGGAAAATTAGCTTTTGGGGAAAATTAGTGGGGAAAATTCACTTTTGGAGATAATTAGTGGGGAAAATTTGTGGGAAAAATTAGTGTTGTGGGGAAAATTTGTGGGAGAAATTAGCTTTTGGGGAAAATTAGTGGGGAAAATTTGTGGGGAAAACTAGCTTTTAGGGGGAAAATTTGTGGGGAAAATTAGCTTTTGGGGAAGATTAGTGTTGTGGGGAAAATTAGCTTTTACACCAGAAGCCTGACTTTGAATCCCTGTTCCCCCACTGATTGTATGTGACACTGGGCATGCTACTTACCCTCCTGGACTTCAGTCTCCTTGCTGTAAAATGAGAATAATAACAATACCTGCTTTATAGGGTGTAAAGTGAATGGATTGAGGCAGGCAAAGTACTAAGCATAGTGCCTGGCATTCTGTAAGTGTTCAATAAGTCTCATCAATATTATGAAACATGCAGACAATACTGTTGTTCTGTATTAATTGTGTATCATAGTGTCAAGCTCAATTTCCATGAGAGTCACACCAGTGCTGCAAGTGTGTGATTCAGGCCTATGGAAGATTCTAAGGTGTATTGGAGTCTGTGGCAGCCTGGAGATTCAGACTGCCCATCACCCACCATCCGTCCCCCCACATTGTGATATTAAACAAGGGGGAGAAAGCCGAACAATGTATATCAGTTGTGACTGAATTTGTGAGGTTGTAACTGAACATATAGATCATAGATGCAAGGGGTACTGACAACGTGCAGGGGAGCTGAATGGACTGGGTGGATGGCAGGCCTCTTGGAAGAGGTAAGAGTTCACCTGGATCTTAAAGAAAAGGCTTAACTAAAGATGGAGGAGAGGTTTCTAAAATATGCAGCTGAAGATCTGACATCAAGGTTAAGCTTGTTTGACTGTGGGTTGGACATGAACCAAGATTTACAGGGTGCAAGCACAGTGCAAAGTCAGACACGACTGAACATCTCACACACACACACACACACACACACACACACACACACACGCAGTGCCTGGCATCATTAGGGTACATGTAATGGCCCTTGCCAGGTAAACTGTGTGAGGCACCAGGGTTGGCTTGGGCACCTGCGAAGGTAATGTCATTATACTAGGAACATGTGTTGATGAACAGGAGAGCTTGGCAGTGAGGTATAAGCTCCTCTGACATTTTCATCAAGCAGGTGAAAAAATATTGGATTGGCCAAAAAGTCTGAACTCACATTTTGGCCAACCCAATACAAAGCAAAGACATTATGTAACTCATTATGTAAACTGGGATCTGCAACACCTGGAAGAGACCCCGTTACTTCCTTAAGTTTTTATTAATTTCTTGAGGGTGAAACTGACAGATATCAGCTAAGGCCCCAAGAAGTCTTCTCTGCCGCCGGAATGAACAGAGAGGAAAATAATCACTCCACCCTATGCTGGACATTGAGTGCAGGTGTTCTTTTAAAAAAAAAAAAAATTTGTTGAAGTGTAGTCGATTTACAGTGTTGTGTTAATTTCTGTTGTACAGCAAAGTGACTCAGTTATAATATGTTCTTTTTCATATTTTTTCCATTATGTTTATCACAGGATATTGAATATAGTTCCTTGTGCTCTATAGTAGGCCCTTGTTTATCCATCCTGTATATAATAGTTGTGTGGAGGTGTTCTGATTCACTCCAGCTTCTTATAGTAAAGCTGGGCATCCTGCCCAGCCACTGGGAGAACAAGTCACCATATTTTACTCCAAAGATCTGGATCTAATCAAGAGTGAGACATTTAAACCAATTGGTATGTCATCCAAATTCATTTAGAGTGTAATTCCTGTAAGAATAATAGTGGAATTGGGGGGAGGAGTGTGATCAAATCAAAGTTTCATCTGAAAATATAAATTTATGAGGCTAGATGAGAAATTGTTGAAATGAAGATTAACATGGGAAGATTTGCCATATCAGATATGAAAAATTAGAAAGCCGTGTTAACACTATATGCAGTCCTTGCAAGACAAATTAGACCAGTGGATCAAAATAGAGCATCTACACATACGTGTATCTGGTAAAAATTATTTCAACTCAATGGGGAGAGAATGTTTCATTTATTAATTTGGGGAGCAATTGACTGGATCTTCTGGAAGGAAAATGAAGATGAATTCCCTCAATAGATATAAATCTAAATAGAGGAAACAGTTTATAAAAAGTAAATCTTGGTTAATATGCTATGGGAAAAAAAAATTGAGGAAAATCATGGATATTGTCACTCTGCTTGTTTAACTTATATTCAGNGGCCATCTTATGCAAAGAGCCTACTCACTGGAAAAGACCCTGATGCTGGAAAAGATCGAAGGCAAAAGGAGAAGAGGATGACAGAGGATGAGATGGTTAGATAGCAACTCAGTGGACATGACTTTGAGCAAACTCTGGGAGATAGTGAAAGACAGGGGAGCCTGACGTACTGCAGTCCTTGGGGTCACAAAGAGTAGGACAGAACTGAGTGACTGAATGACAATAACAATGTATTTATGATATATTGTTGTTGTTGAGTCACTGAGTCATGTCCGACTGAGCATATAGGTTAAATAAGCAGGCTGACAATATACAGCC